AAAGAATCATACTTCTCTAACATCAAAGCCTCTAAAGCCACCACAGTGGAAAGACGAGAGAATAGGAGCACTTGGCAACGTTAACCAACCTCTAGACACTGTTTCCTGACTCCTTCCTTTCCACCTTCCTTCTCCCAGCAGTGGTTGTCACGTACAACTGTTTGTGCCTATACAGCATCGGCCCCAGCCCGCCTCTTCCTACTGCTCTCACCCCTAGTGAACATCTTAACTTGCTTACTGAATTAGCCTTTAGCTGGTCACCTTACTTTTCTTTTTAAAAATATCTAGTGTCTCCAAACTCCTGAACCTGCCGTTTGTGGCCTCTTCCACTTGTACCCAATCCGTGTCTCAATTTCCTTCTCCCTTATCCTCTTCTCATAATGTATGTGCTGAGTTCTCTGTCAGGAACTGTCTTTTCATCCTTCTTTCAGTCCCCTTATTTTGGAGTGCTTTAAAGTCAGCTTACTTCACGTGTGAAACATTCCATACCTGCCTGCGTCCCTCCTCCCTCCCAGTTTAAACCCTGCCTTCTGTAAACTCCCTTCCATTGGAGTTTATCAAGGAATAATGACAGTTTTACGGAGTGTTGAAGCTTTGTATATGCTGTCTTTATCTTCTCCATTAGTCACGTAAACTTCCTTGGGGGCTCTGACTCATCTGTGATTTCCTCAGAGGAACACAATAGTGAACAAGATGGACACAGTCTTAAGGAGCTTACAGTCTTAAGGAACTTACATCCTACTTGGGGAGACAGTCATTAAATAATCTTAAAGACAGAACATTAAAACTTGGTAAGTGCTTTAGGGTAGATACATGATCTCTTGCAAGCATGTGATAGTGGTTTTGACCCAGACAACTTTTTTGCAAAGTGAGAATTGATCTGAGACCTGAAGAGTGAATTAGGCAAAGAAGGGTAGAGAAATGCTGGCTAGGCAGGGTGTACAGTATGAGCAAAGGCCCTGAGGTGAGAGGGAGCATGGCAAATACAAATGACTGAAAGAAGGCGAGAATAGTGAGACTGCAGAGCGTGTGCAGGGTAAGATAAGGCTGGAGTGGTAGACAGGGCCAGATCACACATGTTAAAGCATTGTTACTGTTTTTACCCTCAGATCAGTGGAAAGCCGTTGAAGTGTTTCAAGCACGGAGGTCAGATTTGTGTTTCAGATCCCTGGCTGCAATGTGGAGAATGACTTGGAGAGTGGAGGGGATCAGCACCGGGCATGGCCTGTCTGTTGTATTTGAACAACTGCGGTAACAAATTAAACCCCAAATCTCAGTGGCCTAACATAGTAAAGATTTATCTTTATCATGCAGAGTCCAGCGGGGTTGGGCAGCCCTCCTCTATCTTGAAGTGTGTCCACCAGGGTCGTCTTGGCAGGGGAAGACAGGGTTTGAAGATCACTTTTAAAGAGCTGGACCTGGAAATGGTTTATATCACTGTGCCCAACTCTTGCTGAGCAGAACTGTCATATGGTCCCAACTGAACTTGCAAGGAAGGCTGGAGAATGTAGTCTTCCTGTGTGCCCAGGAAGAGGAAACGGTGTGGTGCACACATATCCTGATCTCCCTCCCCTACAACAACTTGGGAGGTTATCGTAACAGTTCAGATAAGAGGCAGTGGTAGCTTGGGCTGGGAGAATGGCAGCAGAGATGGAGAGAAATGAATATCTTGGAAGAACAAAATATGAAAATCCAAAGAGCTAAGTGAGGTGAGGGAGAAGGAATTATTGAGGATGTCTCTTAGGTTTGGGGCTTGTGTAACTAGGATGGTGATGTGTACTGAGAAAGGAAGGCTGACTAGAAGGGGACTTTGGACATGCTGAGTGTCAGATCCCTTTGCCACATCCAGCTGGAGATGTTAGATAGGAAATTGGGTCTAAAGGCTGGGAACTCAGAAAAGCAGAAGTCTGAACAATGTATGAGTCATTTGGATTAGATGACTGAAACCTCGAGCTTGGATAAAGTCTGCTAGGGAGAATGCAGAGTCCTTCCTTTGCACCTGCACTGCCATCAGCATCTGCTTTCTGCCAAATTGCTCTACCTCTCTGACCGCAGCTGAATCTTTAGTGGTCCTCAGAGCCCTTTTGCTTGTCTTTAGGTGATTCTGAATCTTTATCTCATATGCCCTCAAACCCCTGCCCTACTCCTGGCTTATGTTTCATAGAGAAAATGGAGCCTTTCAAGCACAGTTTTTAGCAGTTTCTTACTTTCTCCTCTAAACTGTTACCCGTCCTCTTCCTATTTTAGAGGAAAAAATGTATATCCTTTTCTAAAACTAACTGCCCCATCGTGTCTGGTCTCTTTAGCGTTCTGACTCTTAATTATGAGTGTTTAGAGTATCCTCTGGAGCCAGATCTCCTGGGTTCAAATCTCAGTTCTACCACCAGTTTCTGAGTGACCCTGGCCAAGCTACTTAATCTTTTTATGCCTCAATTTCCCCATCTGTAAAATGCAAATAATAATAGTAGCTATCTCATAGAATTTTTGTGATTTAAAAGTGTCTGACGATAGTGAGTACTCAATATTAGTTTTGTTTTTCTTTAGTGTTTTGGATTTCCTTCTCTTGTTCCTTCAAGCTCCTAACCTTTTAGCGTGGTCAAATTTCTCCAGTCATAGGACAGTGTCCCTGAAGTTAGCACTCAATCTTCCGTTTTCCCTTCGCCATTAACCGTCTGTGTTTTCTGTCTTCACCTCCTCAATTCCCTGTGGATCCTCAGCCCATTGTCCTGGACGTTTGCCGCCTTCCTCAGTCTTCTGAAATGCTCAGAGGCCCGGTTGCCAAGCCCACTGATCTGTTTTCAGTCATTCTGAAACTTTGACGTTTTTAGTATTGATGACCTCCCCCTCAAAATACTCTCCCTTGGCTTCTAGGATGCTTTTTTCTCCCTTCTTGCTTTTTCTTCTTAGCTTTCTGATCATTTCTTCTTAGTCCACTTGACTTCTCTTTTGCTACTTAATGTTGATAGCTCCATGGTATCGACTGTAGTCCAAAATATCTTACAGGTGCAGCCTTCCTGTTAGATCCGTGCTCATATTTCCAGTTGCTGACTGATCATCTCTACCTGGATGTTGTGCACATCCTGCGAAATTAACATGTCAGCTGTACCCATCCTCCCGCCTCTGTTATACGTCACAGTCTTGCTAGTCGCCAGTCTAGAGAATCCTAGGTCTTCTTTGCTGCTACCCGTTCATGTGTCGTTCAGCTATATTGGTTTGACTTTGAAATGTCCTTGGATTTGTTTTTTGTTTTCAACCCCACTGCTGTAGATCGGAGCTTTATTCTCCTCTGAATATTTGTAATTGCCTCAAAAGTGGTCTTCCTGCTTCCAGTGTCTTTGCCAGTTTCTCCTTCACAGTTTTCAGTATTTATTTCCTCAAGCAGAGTGTCTTTAGTTTTCCTCTCATCAGAAACCTCCACAGACCTCATTTCTGGTAATAGCCCAAACCCCTCCTTACTGAGGCTTTTAAGGTGCCTGTAAGTTACAGCTAGATTTGGCTGAGATTAGTTGCATTATAATTGCAGAATACACATTTACTTTCTATTTTCAATTACTGATACATGATTAATTTGATTAATTTCCAAGTCAGATTTTAAAGTGTCGTGTGAGATGCTTCACTTAGATATTGACAGATACATTCAAATACTGATGGGTTGGATATAAGGCTTCAGATGTTGGCTTCGTGTTTTTAAACATGGGTTATTCAAATGTGACTTAGAGATCAACATTATGGACTAGGGAGTTGGGCGAATTGGAGTCTGTTTCTAGTTCTTCATTAATTTTTGTTACTTTGAAAATTTTATTCATCTCTGTTCAAAAAAAGCAAAATGAAGGTTCTTAACTTGCTTAACATAGATGAACTGTGAAGATAAGAACAATACTACTCCTAAAGCAGTAAAAGAAGGTTTAAGAAGAGTACTTTTTTATGTGTGTGTGAGGAAGATCAGCCCTGAGCTAACATCTGCCAATCCTCCTCTTTTTGCTGAGGAAGACTGGCCCTGGGCTGACATCTGTGCCCATC